CGTCCATTTCACTCAGATTTAACAACTCAGCGCACTCATGACAGTTGCCATTTAATCCAAATGGTTCAACAAATGCAATTATTATAATTCCAAGATTTCCAGCTCGACGGAATGTAACGAAACGTAGTCGTGACGCGTAAAGAGGCCAAAGGAAAGAGGAATTCGTCTCCCGTCCAAATCATTTCAACGCTGCAATATCAATGAATAAATAATACAAACAGACATAGCAAACTAAACAACGACCCTTACTATTCGAAAGTCGTGTCAGTGTTGCTTCTTAGTCGACTTTCCCGTCAGCTCAACTTATTTAACCGTCTCGATAATTATATCTCGGCTTTACTCGCGCAACTCCTCAAACTCGATGCTCCCATTGTTCTTGCGTCTCTTCGTCCGTCAAAAAACACAATGGCTGAGAGTTAGCAGCGCACATATTGTTCGAGGGACTTTTGCGCCTATCGATCCGACAGTGGGTTGGAGGGGTTGTGGGGGGGGGGGGGGGGGGGGGGGGGGAGGAGGGAAGTCAAAAACACGAAATATGGCACTTTGAAGGACAGGCGGAAAGCTGCTGCTGCTGCTGCTGTTGCTGTTGCTGTTGCTGCCGCTGCCGCCGTCAAATAAGTGGATGGAAAGTCGGCTTATGAAGTGTAAAAGGCCCTTGCGAGCAAGTGAAAATCCGCTGGCTTCCTTTTACCGTCGCCCCAATTTTCCTTCGGTACTTTTCATCGCCTAATGAGCCGGCCACTCGGTCGCTCCAAGAACCCGGGGTAAGAAAGCAAGTATAAGCAGACCAAGCGAGGCCGATGTGTTCCTTACGGATTTCCTACTTCCGACTGCGTCTTGGCAATGCAAATGAGGTGCCGTAGCCTCTTCTCCTTATCAAGACACTACGTCAGCGCATAAAAAGTGGCGCACACGTACTCGAGGGCCTTTTGACACAGATAACATCGACGTGCTTTTGAGGGGGATGAATTCGTGCTTGGCCGTTGGTTGTGCTCCTGTAGATGGTGGGCGAGGATCCCGTTGCCGGGCAAATGAAGCTCGTGTCTTTCGCCTCCGTTCCAAATGATTGATTAGCGGCTATTTTTATGCGGGTCTGCGGGTTAGTTGGGCGCGTTAGTTAGCTGAGCCCCAGGCATTTATTTAAAATTATCGAGGAAAGTTTAATCGACTCCGTTGTAATGGCAACTTCCGCTTATTCAAGTTCCGCTCAAGTTTATCAAGCATTTAATGGGATGGAGATGGGCGGAGGAGGTGGGAGAATGGAGCTTGACGTCATTATGTAATTGTATTTGATGATTATGAGTCGGATAGTAATTGTGGAGGTGTCTCGTTGTAGATCTTTTAATTGTGACGATTATTTAAGTTGGTTAAGCGATATAAAATTATATTGCTAAATAAGCCATCGAAAGCTGCTAAGTCATAAAATTAGGCTGATCGCGATTGAATTTGATTACAACACGTTCGTCAGGTGAAATTTATTTTACGTGTTATATCATTATAAACAGTAAAAGCGCGTTTAAATAATTTTTCCTGATTTTTGCCGATTTTTTTTTTTTTATTTTTTTTTGATTTTTTTTTTTTGCTACGGTAGGATTTTATTGAATTAATTGTAAGACAAGCGGTGCCAAAAAATAGATTTCTACGATTTTGTTCTTATGTAAATTTAGCTTAAATCTACAAAGTGCAGTCTACTTAGCATGCATTATTCAAACTTTTGAGAAGATCGTGTCATTCTTTTTCAAGTACATGCGCACTCAAAGTTAGTAAGCTTATATATTTGACGGTATTCGCTTTATAAATACAGAAATGAAGAGTTTCGTCTAAATAAACATTATTAGCATACAGTCTTTTCAAATTAAATTAAAAAAGAGATTAAATTTAATTTAAATACTTTCAATGCATTTTATTTAACTTGTGCGTTACGATACCCATTATTTCCCCACGTATTACATATAATTCATGCGTATGAAGATGAAGCGAAAATTATTATTCTCTTCTTTGTTTCCGTTATTTTTCCTTCTCTATCAAGAAAAGTTTGCAGAATTTTTGTTTCATTCCATTTTCCCAACTAACTCCGTCCAATGAAAAGCCATGAAAAAATTGTACATAAAAAGTTTTCAAACACAACTTTAATTTCAAAATCGTCTCGATGATATAAGTCCTTTACTAGCATAGGTGCAAAGATTTTTGTTTAAAAAAAAAAAAAAAAAAAAAAAAAAAAAAAGAGTTGGTCGCATTATCAATGAATTAACTGTCAAGTCGTGTTTTCAAATCATTTTATTTTCTTAAACTGCGCTTGTTCGAAAATAATTTCAATTCAAACAGTGTTTTTTTGAAAAATGACGTGCAAGAAAGCGTATTTTTCTTATGCAAAATACTTTATGTAAAAGTATTTTTTTTTTTTTTTTTTTTTTTTTTTTTTTTTATAGAAACCTCGCGTCAAGCACGCGCATTATATTTTAAAAAGTTATTTTAATTTCAAACGCCTTAAAAGAAAGTCCCATTTATGTAAGAGTCGTTCTAATTTTTAATGTATTTTTTTTTTTTTTTAAATATTCTCTAAATAAGCATAAATCCTTACGTAAATGGTAAAATAAACTCAATGTTACAATCATCCAAGACACGGTAATGGAATATATTTATGACTCATATTTTATAGAAACATCGACCGTATACATATTAACATCCTTCAACATTTTTATTTAATATAATTTCATCAATGTGAAATATCTTTAAAACTTTTGGTATTGACAATTATTCTCAATTTTTCAAATTAGTCATATTTCATTATTTGGAACAGTTCTGTAAATCTTAATATATATGTGTGTCATTGAGCTGGAAAAGTTAGTTATCTTTTTGAAATACATAATTTCTGGAAAATAAATCAACATAAAAGAAAAATTAATAATCAATTATTTATATAAAAACGAGGTTCAAGATTTTTATGATACTTTTTTAATATTAGGAGAATTTTTGGTTATACGTTTGCTCGATTGTATCTTTGGTTCAAACAATTGAATTCATTAAAGTGCCAAAATCGTCTATAAAAACTTTTAAATAAATGTTTTATTTGAATTTAAATATTAATAGTGAATATTAATTTTTTTTATTATTAAAGATATATACTTTGCGAACATCTCATTTGCAGGACATATTAAATCACATTATTAAATATCCATTAAATAAACTTTATAATTAAGGTTACAAAATTCCGCACCCTCCGTATATTTTTATCATGTGTCATTTATAAAATTTATGTGTAAAGAAGAAAATAATGCGGTGGCCTGGAGAACTTCCTAAACTATTTTCTCTTCGAATACGCGAGGTAAGAAAGGGAATATGAAAAGTTATAAAATATTGCACGTCCGACGTACGTAGCTTTTGTAAATCTTTATAAAAATTTGATTGCGTAACAAAAAAAAAAAAAAAAAAAAAAAAAAAAAAAAATGACACTCGTCTTATTAGACCGTAGGAACGCCCTTTCGATATTATATTTATTAGAATAATTTTAATGAAACGCATCAAGTATTAAATAATTAAATATTTTAATGAATGAGCTTCATCCTGTGTTTTGATATTTATTTTCTAATGAAAATTTCATTAAAAATAATTCTTATCATCAATTTGCAGTTCGGTAAAACATAAATGTTGCAATAATATAAAACATTCAATTTCAATGAATAAAAAGCAATTTATCTCATTTATTAACACACTGATGTTTCATACACGGAAATAATGCGTAAAAGTACGCACATACGCTTTCATACACTCTACATAATAAATGAAATCTACATATTTATTAAATAACAATTGTCTTGATGAAGTTATGTATAATTCAAATATAAAAAATAAAATCAGCCGGTCATTTAATTTAATTTTCAAGAAACTTTACTAAGACAAACATTGCAATTTATCATAGCAATTGATAGTAATAATATTTTTGTTGGAATGACTTTTTAGAATGACTTGAGTAGCAATAGAAATTATATGTGAACCATGTTTATGTGTTTAAGGATGATTGTTCCTATATTTGGAATATTCCAGCGGAAAAGAGGTGTTTGTGGATGCAAGAAACGGAAAGTTGCAAAGTTTATGCTTTCGTACCTTATCCAACTTTGCTCTTTTGCACCTTCGGAACTGAAAATACAATCGTTTTTGGCCTTGGATTAACATTGTTATTCCTTTGGCTTCTCTACTTATTTTTCATATTGGGAAGCATTGTGGATAATTTGTAATTCAATTTTTTTTATTGCCTATTCCTTATTAGTTGTTGATATTTTAATTGCACACGTGCATATCTAAGGAGTTCTTCACCGATGAAAATTTTTATCTCAACAATTTATATTTTCATTTTCTTTTAGTATATTATTATTACTATAGCATATCTGGAGACTTTCCAAATTGCTAAACAATTATCAGTATGTTTAAAGTTTCAATATTTCCGGCTTAGATACAAAATTTCAGGCCAGATTATTAGAATTGTCCGCAAATTGTATATTATGCGTGTATTATTTAAATTGAATTCTCAAAAAAAAAGAAAAAAAAAAAAAAAAACCTTTGAAAGCTATTAACGATAAATATATTATCTAATTATTTTCGTACTATAATTTTCGTTTTGTTTATATAGTTCTTTTAACTTCCCTTTAAACGATATAAATGAAAGATTGGATTCTCACCAATTGGACATGCACTTTTATTCGCAATGTTCGCGTAACTTTTAACGCGCGTAGATGTTTAAAAATGAATTATAATACGAAATATAAACGTGAAAGAATAATAAATTTGAATAGTAATTGAAAAAGCTCGTGGGGCTTAGCATACCATACATAGCAACTCGTTCGAGATAAAAATCATGACGAAGCGAAGCACGGGTGTCGAATCGCTTTCTGAAAAATTTCATACACAATTCGAGACGCAATAATAATTTATCAAAGAGGTTTTGAAATAATTAATCAGACGGCGGATAAAAATGTACGCGGAGGGCAGGACACGGCTACACTATACATATGTCCAAGCCACTCGTGTCGAATGAATAAGATTAATTTAGGGTGGGTAAGGGAGCGCGTAGGTAAAAAGCTCCCCACGTAAAAGCTCCCTCACGGAATAATCTTGGCGAGCTTTGGAAAGTGCGCGTCACGAGGAGGGATGGCCGCGGACCATCGAGAAAATGCACGAGTACGGGGATATGAGGGGAGCTATCGGTTTCAGCTTCTGCCCGTCCCTGTCGACGATCGCCGCGGTGCTACGGCTTTCGGAGAACATCGCCGGGGTGACGATCCTGGCATTTGGCAATGGTGCCCCCGACATCTTCACCTCGTTGGTCGCGAACGAGGAGGAGCGCCTCATGATATTCATGGAGCTGATCGGCGCGGGCGTCTTCGTTACCGCCATTATCGCCGGCACCGTAATAGTCTTCGCCCCTTGCCAACTCAATCCCAAGTACTTCATGCGTGACGCGAGCTTCTACGTAATCGCCGTCGCCTGGATATGCCTCATCGTTTGGGACAACGTGGTGCACTTGTGGGAGGCCCTCGGTGAGTTTTTCCCATTCTTCCTTCCTGGACGGCTGGGGGCGTTTTTGGGCGCAGTTGCCCCGACGCGTCTGTAAGCGAGATTATTTTCTCGTTGCGGTAAGTGACGTAATTGTGGAGCGACGCGCGAATTGTCGATTTACTTTTTTACCAATTGATTTCGGCTCGTTCGAGCCACGTCGATTCCCTTCGGCGTCCCCACTAATTGCATCCTGCAAAGGGGAAAAACTTCGCTTTCGAAATTCCAGCGATTAATTTGCATGAACATTTGAATTCTTTTGTATTGAGGCAGACGCCAAGTTCAGGAAGCATTAAGAGTTCCGTCGAAATTTGATTTTGTTGAGAGCGAATGTATTAAGCTCGTGCAATAGCGTTTTATGTACTTGGCCGGCAAAAGCTGGCGTTGAATGTATTGTTGAATTACAGCGGCAAGTAATCAGCTTATGAATAAGCAATCAAATGTATTAAGGAGTATTTAATATGAAAGATCTGGATTTAGAGAATAACAATATATAAATTTATATCTTTTTTTGAGATTTTTTTTTTATTTTTTAATCGTCTGCATCTTTGAAATGGCATTTAGTAAGGACATATTTTTAGGGAAATGGGATTTACTGTGAAGTGCAGAGCGGATGTGACAATGTAAATTTCATGCGATGATTATCTTTTAAGACTGTATTATCATTAATTTTTTCAAGCCGTAATTTAATGTTCATGGATGGTACAGTGTCGTCGTAGTTGCTAATCTTAACTAAGAATCAAATTATGCATTTCATGGCAACTCTATGTGGGAACGAAAACGATAGGTAAATTTCAGTGGAATTAACGCTAAAGCCCGTAAAGTGGTTATTTCTGTTTTAATCCTTAATTACATCCACTGAACATTCATCGATTTCGCACAATTTGAGAATAACTCATTGATCGATGATCATTATGAAAATAGTACTTGGATTACAATAAACTAAAAAAAAAAACAAAAAAAAAAAAAAAAAACAAAAAAAAAACATAAAAACATGAATTTATAGCTTTATCATTGGGATTTTTAAGTATATTAATTTATTCACAATTTTCTATTACTTACGTGTCCGCCGATTGTTCATTGCACTCAATCATACAACATTAAATTATCTGTCGTGTAACAAGCTGCTAACCAAGATTGAAAAATATTTTTTTACAAATGCTAGAGTTGCAGTAGGCTTTACACTAGAATGCAGTAACATTTACAAGTAATCGTTTATGTTTTATCAAATTCAATTATATTTTTTATTGCCAAATTATTTGAATACAGTTTCAATTTTGTTTTTCACAGCTCCTTCACAACAACGGTATTTGTCGATTTTTCGACCTCATTTGAACAAGTATCGCAGCTTAATGTATCTGTTTGTTATGTTGAATAAATTTCCGATATTCATTGGAATTTTACAAATATTTAAATTTCATGGTTTAATAGCAGTTTGTGCGTGAATTTAACGTTATGTGTCGAAAGACTGAAGCGCATATTATTTATTTACTTAACGGTATGAAAATATTTATCCTATCTAAATATGATTTAATTCTTATGAACTTAAGGAGGCTGCGAGTACCGATTATTACGGCGATCTCAGGTGTCTTTATCGACGAGGACAAAGATTTAGCGATTTTATAGAAATGCGCAGCCTCTTAAATTACGTTGCCCGATGATCCGATACTTCCCTCTTCTCTTCTCGTTTCGCCCCCCTCTCCGATCCAATCGGCACTGTGCGACGGCGCCTAAATCCTGCCTAAATCCCTACGCACCGACACACGCGAACACGCGTGAAAATGATCAAGGTCGGGATTAGCCTCTGTCAGACCTCCTCAATACTTCTCATGCATGTCAGTTATCATTTATTTAATATCACTATGTGCATTATTCATTTAATTAACGGCTCAATATCGCTTAAAATCCATTATAATTTTGAGATTATCTTTGTTCTTTGTTCGATTTATTGACATATTTAGTTTGCCACGTTAATAGACATAACTCAAACGATTTTTTCCCCTCAAATGTATTGATACTAATATATCTTAAATATGAAGAAAAGAAAATTTGATAAATTGTTCGACTGTACGCTATTTTATCTAATGCTATTTGTATTCGTAACTTATAAAATATTTTTCAAAAAAATGAACTCGATATATTCAGGCAGCATAATTTAGCTATATAACATAATACACAATATTTCATGATTTCATTTATTATTTATGAAGTATGTAAAATTATATTATACATAAAATTACTTTTCGCCATTTTACTCATATTGTAATATTAAATCAATTTTTTATTTATTATTACTCGATCTAAAAAAGATTCAAGCATTTTTATTGATCAATTGGCTTTCTTTATTAAATAATATGCTTAAATAAAGCGTTTGTAG